GGGGGAGGTAACGTGGGGTGATGTGGGGGTTATGTGTGTTTTTCCTTCTTCTGACACACCCTTTCCTGTCTCCCAAGGACTTCGTTTAAATGAGAACCAAATTATCGATCCGAATGGCGCAAAGGGGGGCCCAACAGGAACAAAATAGAAGACGATAAACAAAAATAAAGCAAAGCAGAACGACGACAGAACGATATACGGCGAAACATGCACACACACACACATCCCACACCTTCCACATACACACATAACCCCCCTCCGCCCTCTTCCCCCTTTCCCCACCCCATCCCCGGGCACACTCACACGCGACCTCCTCATCCCGTACAGGCGCCAGCGCCACCATCTCCTCCTCCGGGCTCCATCCGTAGAATTCCCCGGGGATGTGTTTTGGCGCCGGCGGGGGGGCCTCCCCCGCGCCCTCCTCCACCGCCAGCTTGGTAAGCTCCTTCTGGATTTCCACAATGCGCCCGAGCCGCTCGTCGATGCGGTCCAGGGCCTTTTGTTTGGCGGCGCGGGATGCATCCCAACGGGCGTTGAACAACCGCCTCAGACTACGAACCTCTTCCTGTTCGTCGGGGGGAAGAGGGAGGGCCGCCCAGCGCGCCCGGGGGGGGGAGGGGTTTGGAGGGGAGTTGTGTAGTGGGGGGGCGTGTGTGTGTATGTGTGTGTATTTGAGGCATCTGTGTGTGCCAAATGAATGCGGCAGCGGGGGGGAAGGGGGAAGGGAAAGAATGGGCGAGGGGGTGGGGGCGCACGAGAAAACAACTTGGTCACCAAAGATGAATGCGCGCGCGTGTGTGTGTTTGTGTGTGTGTTTGTGTGTGTGTGTTTGTGTGTGTGTTTGTGTGTGTGTTTGTGTGTGTGTTTGTGTGTGTGTTTGTGTGTGTGTTTGTGTGTGTGTTTGTGTGTGTGTTTGTGTGTGTGTTTGTGTGTGTGTTTGTGTGTGTGTGTTTGTGTGTGTTTGTGTGTGTGTGTGTGTTTGTGTGTGTGTGTCTGTGTGTGTTTTTGTGTGTGTGTTTGAGTCAAGATAGGCTAAAGAGCGATCAAAAGTGGTGAATGTGGATTTTGTGCCGCCGGCGATGGTCCTCGGCTTCTTGGTGGAGTGGGGGTTGACTTCGTAAGGGTTCAATGGGGCTAAGGAAAGAAAAGGAAGGAAAAGATCAAAGCTGTACGGAACGGGTTTTTCCCCTCCCTCCCCCAACCCCACACCCCAACCACCCCACGCCATGTAAATGTCTCAAAACACATACCGTACACTACACCCTACGGCATGCCCCGACACACCCCACGTCGTGCCGTACCTGAATAAATACCATCTGTGACACCCGTCGACAGTGAGTGTACAGCTGTACGTCAGCGTACAGCAGCCCCGTCTCGCCGTACCCGGGCTCCGTACCCTCGAAACCATCGTCTCGGAATTGCTGCCGGGGTATGCGCACGTTAAAAGGGCGCAGGGTGAGGGATAGAAAGGCGAAGAAGATTGCGAGGATTGAAGAAGGAGCCGTCCCATCATGGACACGTGTAATATACATACGCGCAAACATATACACAGACACGCTCCCACCGCCCAAAGGCAGCGCCCTCCTCCACACACCCACACACTCACCCCCCCACCGCACACACACACACCTCACTCTCTCTCGTCATAAGAACGCAAAAAGGTACACACAACAAACACATATCCTAAAATCCTATCCAGTACCCCCGTTATATCCCTCCCGCCAAAACACCCCCTCCCCGGCCCCCAACCCCCCTCCTTACCCGCCTGCTCTTAGAGGTCCCACCCAGCGACTGCCCCTCATCGTCCTCTTCCCCATCGTCGTACGTCTGCTGTACACGGTACGGCTGGCCCTGTCCCTGCCCGCCCTGCCCCCCGGGTCCTCCCGCCACCAAGGAGTACTGCCCCGACAACTGACTTGACGGTTGGGCAGATTGCAACGAACTCAACGGCTGTGCCAACCCCTGCCCCTGCTGCTGCAGCTGCTGCTGCTCTTCCTCCCCCATGACCAGGCTGAACTTCCGCTGCATGTCGCCCTTATATCTTCGAATGGGTACGACAGCGCCTCTTTCCTGGCTGCCCCGCAGTGCCCCCTCGGCCTGCTCGACCTTGCGAAGAAAGGCAACCTGGGAGAGGGAGGGCCCATACACACATCAGCGTTGTTATCAATGTCTAAAACACACACACACACATATATACGTAAATACATACTTGCATGAATACACATTGACACGGTTCCTCGCTCTGCGCTCCGTCAACTTAACAACACACACGTACGGCACAATACACACATACACATCCCTCCCCCGAGCCCCCAGTGCCCCCAGCGTCCTCCACCACCCCCCCCAGCACTGCCCAAAACACACCCACACCCACACCCACACCCGCACCCACACCCACACCCGCACCCACCTGCTTCAGTCTGAGTTCCTGTGCCCGCTTCATCTTGCACAGCCCGTAGCTCCACACACCCCCTTCCGTACGAGCCGCCGAAGACTCCCCCTCGAAGCGGTACTTGCGGACCTCCGCTGGATCCATGGGGCTGATGAAGGCGTACTCCCCCAGCGGAACGAGGGGCCGGGAGGCGCATTCCATAACCCCCATACACTCCTCCTTGAGTCGCTGACGCTGAAACTGCGGGGGAGAAGGGGGAAAGGAGGGGGGAGGAGGGGGAAAGGAGGGGAAAGGGGTTTGTGTATTTGGGGCAGAAGCCGGGTGTTGGGGGGGCGGGGGAGATTGTGGAGCAAAAGGGAAGTCGACGGGGTCGCGTGGTTCGTGTGTGCTTTTATTATATAACTAAAGAAATGATGAAAACGAAGCTGAGTGTGTGTTTGTGTGTCTGTCTTTGTATGTATGTGTGACACCATGCATGATGGGGCCTTATGATGGCGACGAGAAGGATGTGTGTATGTGTGCATACAAAATGCGGGGAGAATGGCGGGGAAAAGGTGGGGAGGTGTTTTTTTTTTATTTTCATGTGCACGTGTTTGCTCTCGTGTGTGGGGGGTGGGGGTGGGGGGGTGGGTGGGTGTGTGTCTCCACCTCACCTCCATGACCCGCATCTCCCTGGCCAGTTGAGTCTTGACCTTGCCGTACCGCTCTTCAGCGTGCTCCAAAAGGGCCTTACGCAGCCCCAAATCGACCACAAATTCCTCCGGGGTGAGTCGCTCCACCTCGTCTGTATGTATGTATGTATGTAAGTATGTCCGTGTGTGGTTTAGGAGCGCGTGGATGAGGAAATGGGGAAGGGTTACAAAAAGAAGAGAAAGGGGGAGGGAAAGGTAGTTAGATTGTTCGACGAGGATTTAAGGCATATCAGTTTGCATCTCGCAAATGTACGACATAAAAACACAGCGTCACCACCACTCAAGATCCTATCATCATTCAAACGCTTACCCGGCCCCCCTCCTCCCTCCTCCCTCCCCACCCCTCCCTCCCCCTCCCTGTCCTCCCCCTCCCTCCCCGTACCCGATGCCTCATTTATCAGCTTCAGCTCCTTCACCTTCTCTACCCACTCCTGGCATTTGGATTGAGCCTTCTTTCGGAAGCTGGTCAGCTGCTNNNGATACAANTTATGGGTAGNNTGAGNTTTGTGTATGTGTATGTGTATGGGGGGGGAGGGGAAGGGGATGGGGAGGAAAAGGGGAGGAAGGGTGTGTGTTGGGGCGGGGAGGGGAAGGGGAGGGGGAGAAAAAGGGGAGGAAGGGTGTGTGTTGGGGCGGGGAGGGGAAGGGGAGGGGGAGAAAAAGGGGAGGAAGGGTGTATGTGTGGTGTGTGAGATGTGTGCGTGGGGTGGCGCTTGTGCACGTATATGTGTGTGTGTGTGTGCACGTATGTGTGTGTGTTTGTGTGCGTGCGTGCATGTAGGTGTGTATGAATGTGTTCCTCAAACCGAAGACCGAGGAAAAGCATGTGCACAAAAGTACGACACCCCGGGTTCCAACATGTGGGGGGCTATACGGTTAGGTTTCAGGGTTTGGATTCTCTTTTGGATTTTTTGGATTCATCAAAGACTCGACGAGAACACATCCAAAGTGACAGCCGCATCGCACACACATACACACAAACAAACACACCTGGCCTCTTGCCACGTCGGCGCCGCGTCAGCATCCGTGTACGTCACCGGCAGTACAGTCTGCAAATGTACGGGCAAAATGGATCCAAGGCTCGCCCTCTCAAAGCCACGTGGTCTTGGAGGTCCAGTGGGTTGGAAAAATGTGCTGCGTTGCGCCAGGGCAAAGGCGCCGCCGCCTCCGAAACCGCGGCCGGCGGCGGCGGCGGCCGCCGCCGTGGGTGAGGCGGCGGCGGTGGGCGAGGCGGCGGCGGCAAGGCCCCCGGGCGTACCGACGTGGCTTTGTCG